TGTTGACAGAGAGGCTTTATTCTACTCTTATCATTGGATGCACAGTAAACATTCTCCCTGTCTCCAATTGGACCATTTCCTGGCCACAGAGCTGAAACAGCGGCCTAGAGCTCCGCTATCTGATTGGAGCAACCGGCCATCTCATTGTCACAATCATACCTTATCATCCTTTATTTCCCCTAGTGTTCTGGCAGCCTGATAGAATTATTGTGCCTAACAATTGCATAATTTGCATGCCACGATGACAGACGCATTCACTACAAACCAGACGGTCGAGTGCGAGTTGCATTTATTTTTCAGCTCTTGCCGTTTTTTTCCTCATTCCCTCATTCATAAAACACTCAGGTCCGCTTCCTCCAAGTATTCCATGGTGGACACTGGAGGGTCGGATTGAATTCTTCCAGATAATTGTGTCAGATAGGCAGCCTAACAGCGTCTTTCACAAGCGATCAGATAAACACCCAATTACCAGCGGTGAGATGCCACTGTCGGCGGGGCAGAGGAGGTGCGTTGCACCAAGATGGCCTCCTCACCTGACACTCTGCACCAATGAGTTTAGGCAGAGGAGACAGCTAAGAGTAATTATTCAATTCTGTTGATTAATGAATACAACCATTGAAGATAATGGAAGATTAATGTGTAGGACCTCCTCTTTCCAAATTACATGCACATGGATTGGGCCAATCAGCAACAAACAGACCTGAGCCTACAAAAATCTGTTTTCTATCCTTTTCTCCAGTTTATCTTTGCAAACACATACTTATTTATGAGCAAGAAATGTATGTACATGTATGCAAATGTGAAAAGTAGAGGTAAATTCTAAAACGTTTCAGAAAGATGCCGTGTTAAATTCCAGCCTGAATGAGTCATCCATCTGTCATCTGTATAACAGATCACTATGGATCAACATTTAAAGGAAGAGTTCGCCAAAAAATAAATAAATAAAAATAAATAAAATAAAAATACATAATATTTTATTATTATATAAAATGTATCATATAATACTGTGTAATAGGATATTCTGGATATAACATATTATAATATATGATAAATAATTTTTTATAATTTTAAATCCAAATTTAATTTAAATTTTAACATATAACTTAAAATATGTTAACAACTAGTCCATATGAAAATTAATTTGTTGAGACTGTAATAAAATAAATGTAATCTAATGAGATATTAACAACAATAAAAAATTATTGAAAATAATTATATGTATTATATTATATTATATATATTATATTATATTATACTTTAAATAACTTTCATATGGACTAGTGGTTAACATGTAATAAAAAAATTTAATCTAAAATATTATTATTATTTAAATTCAATAAAATTTAAGTATATGAGTTAAAATGTATTTAAAGTTAAAATGCATTAAGTTAATTTTAATTTTACATATAAAATTTTATTCTAAAAGATAAAATGTAAAAGGTAATATAAAAATAATAAAATATACTAGAAAGTTAAATTAAGATTATAAATAATGTAATGAGACATTTTAATAAATAATAATAATAAATGATCATATTAATAATAATTTCATTTAAATGCAATTATATAACTTAAAATGTATTTAAAGTACAGTAAAAATATATTTTAAGTTATACATGTAAAATTAAATGATAAATGGCAAAACATAAAAGGTTACATAAAAATATAAAAACTCCTTGAAAGTTAACTTAAGATTATAAAGAAATAAATGCAATGAGATCATTTAATAAATAATATTTTTTTATTTACATGGTGAAAAAAAGTAATCTTCCATGAACCTTTAATTTAACACTTAATTTAGGTGTTCAAAATGGAGCTCAGAATATCCTGTTTGACTCTTAATGATGACAACCCTGTCTCAACATTATATCGGTCATCTTGCTGTCTAAATGTTGGAATTGCCCATTAAAAAAATCCTTATCTGTCACTCACTAGTCCACAACCAGGCCCAAACCTCACCGACTCACTGTAAAACTCTGTACTCGAATGGCAAAAACAAAGAAAGGTACAACAAGAAAGAGATGAAGACATTTCAGTTTTGAAAAATGCACAACAAGTGCTTTCTGAGGGAAAATGCAGCTCTTTTGGTGTTCCCATCTCTTGTTCTTCTGCTTCTGGAGTTTCTTTGTCGTGGTGGGTGACGTGAACAAAGTCAGCAGCCACCCCGACCCTTCATGTACTGTTTTGAGGTTTGGCAGACACCGACTAAACTGTCATTTCCTTTACACACTGCTTTCATTTCCAACATGACATGACACCATTTCCACATGAATAGGTCTCCTCACATCTCACCAGGGGCGTCTGGCGTGTTAAAGGTGGAGGCATAGAGCAGGTAAATTATTGCAGGAAAGTGTTCAGAGGGCTCTGAGAAATCAAATGCACTTCAAATTACCTCTGACAACACCCACTGTTCCTTTCAGCTTAATCTCTCGCCTTTCATCTTCCAATTTCTACCCTTGGAGCTCCTTGTAACTTCAGCCCAGGGAGCCAGATGCTACGAGAGCTGGGGAGGGGAAGGAAAGAGAGAACAAAGCAGATGAATAACACAGTGGTCTGCGATTGTTAAAAATCAAATCATTCTCCATTTACGTTATGGTCCAAATGGTTAGGAAACAGAGATGCACAATATCACTATCATTATCTTTGCCCAGCGCTGGCTTTTCCCCATGGACTGCCGTTCTTATTGAGAAGGTGGCTGGTGGTTCAATTAGCCTGACCGAGACGTTTTTGAGGGAATAATGCAATGCACCGACAGGAGTGTGAAATGCAAGCCATAAGGAGCAGAGCATTCTATAGTGGCACGCTTACGTATTCATTCTTTGTTCATGCTTTAGAGCTACACTGTGCACTATCTGGACAACGCAGATGCCGTCCCCCGGGACTACAGCCTGGATAGTGAGTAAACACATATTCGCCTATTGTTCATGATTTCCAGGCATTTCAGTAAAACCTCCAGCACTGCATTTCCACTGGCCGTTCTTCCTCCCTGTTCATTAATTTGAAAGCAGGCTGTTTAGATTGGGCACCATTTAATCACATATAGGAGCCATGGCCTGGAGGTAAACACAAATACTTCAACATAAGCAGGTCTGGACACTTTAATTGAGAATGCCTTTAATATTACTGAACTTGAATTGAGCTATTCAAGATAAACAACTGGAGGTAATTTAAAGGCAAATCTGTCATTTCTGTACCACCAGCATCACCAAACAGAATTGATGATTGATCAGCCAAACAGATAGACAAAGCCCAAAATCACAGCACTGCGTGAGTAAATGTTGCTGTGTCAACCTGGTCAGGATGTTCAAATAAAAATAATTAAAACTAAAACAATTTAAATTAAACATTAATAAAATTAAAACAATGGAAAACCCCTTAAGATAACCTGTAGAAAGAAAAGGATACATCTTAAGCATGCAGAATAACTTAAGTGGACTTTGAATGATTAAGTGCCGCTAGATAATTATAAACATATATCCAGTATAAATATGTGACCTTGGACCACAAAACCAGTCTTAAGTCGCTGGGGTATATTTGTAGCAATAGCCAAAAATACATTGCATGGGTCAAAATTATCGATTTTTCTTTTATGCCAAAAATCATTAGGATATTAAGTAAAGATCATGTTCCATAAAGATATTTTCTAAATTTCGTACTGCAAATATATCAAAACTCAATTTTTGATTAGTAATATGCATAGCTAAGTACTTCATTTGGACAACTTTAAAGGCGATTTTCTCAGTATGCAAATATATCAAAACTCAATTTTTGATTAGTAATATGCATAGCTAAGAACTTCATTTGGACAACTTTAAAGGCGATTTTCTCAGTATTTAGATTTTTTTGCACCCTCAGATTCCAGATTTTCAAATAGCTGTATCTCGGCCAAATATTGTCCTATCCTAACAAACCATACATCAATGGAAAGCTTATTTATTCAGATGATGTATAAATCTCAATTTCTGAAAAATTTACCCTTATGACTGATTTTGTGGTCCAGGGTCACATTACAAACATATATTTACACAGAAGTTTTCATTTTCATTAATATTAAATATAAATCAAATCAATTATTTTACTTAAAAAAAAAAACAGAGTGGAAAAACCAGAATGCTTTCCCAGAATGCTCTAATTTTCCTCAAAATTGAGAAAGAAAAAAATGAATTATTAAAAAGACGGTTTTAAATCATTTTGGATTTAAATTGAGTAAATTCCTCTTGGAAAGTCAAAATCTTGTTGGTCTGGCCAATTCAATTTCAAGACACATTCCTAAATTGACACCGAGTAGGCTAAATTCTTAATTTTGCCCAAACCTGAAACAAGCAATATGGGTCATTTACAATTTATTGTTTCCCATCCACTCTCAACAATACTTTAACATATTGTTTTTAATGTATTTAATCAGAAAAGTCTGTAACATGTGTTTGAAAAATGCTCTAACTAACAGTGATACGACGCAGTAAAACTCTTAAATATGCTGGCATTCAATTTCCATGCACACTCTTCAACAAGCCCTCTGAATAAATATCAAACTGTTCGAACAAACACAATTTCATGCTCAGACATTCAGCCTTTCGATTATTGTAATCCGCTATCAGCATGTGAGGCCAGTGAAGCTCGCGCAGCAGCGTGCGGCTCGCGGAGCATGGAGATGAGTTTGGAGGCTGTTGAATAGACGAATTCGGATAGCAGGCTTCATTACATACGACTGTACAAACACGCCATTGGTATCCATTGTGTGAATGCAGTCAAGTGAGCAAGCAATGGAAAAGGAAAGAACGAGGCTTTGCCGCAGACGTGAGGACAATCTCCTTAAGTGACTGCTCAGCTGTTTTGCAGAGTCAATGTCATGTTTGTTATGGATGGCGCCGTTCGGCTTCCTCCACGCAGCTCTACCCTCGTAAAGATGACGGACAGGGTTTAAACGTCCTGTGTTTACAGTGCATTAATATTTCTGTCACTTCATTACAATAAAAGGATTAACCATCTCCTTTTTGCAGTTTTCTTTGCTGTTTATATATATATATATATATATATATATTTATTTTTTTTATTTTTATTTTTTACTTTAAATATTTATTCTTTATTTATGTACTTTATCTTAGTTTTGTAAAATGTTGTTTGAAAAAATTAACAGAAAAGCAATTATGAATTTGAAAATATCCGAGGAACTATAAATTATTATGTGACTTTTCCAAACAAACAAAAAAAGTGAATCCAGCATAGCATTAAAACACTTATTAGCTTATCAGTATCAGCCAAACCTTTAATATCATTGCATCTCTAATTTATTTTACAGTGAGATCCAGTGATAATGTGATGAAAACATGACACAGAATGGATTCAAACCTGATTCAACAGCTCTTATATGTCCCAAGCATGTACACTACCCACTGCAGCACAGATCCTACAACATTATTAAACTTTATTTCACTCCACAATCTTCAGAGATGGAAATATTAGTTACAAGCTGTTAGCAGCCCTATTTGTGTTTACCGAAATCGATTATGAACCGGATAAACCACCAACCTCTTCATATATATGCACAACATCATTTATTCAAAAAATTTGTTAAGCCTGGGTAACAAGACACGCTAGGTATCCCTGTTGGAAACGTTTGGGGAAATTATGTTTAAGACGTGACGGTGTCTGTGCATGCAAGCCTCTTATTAGAAGCTGCAGGCCGAGCCAAAATTACGATTAATTTTCTGCAAAAGCAACAGAGCATTCCTGGCCAACAAGGAGGCAGACAGGCCCAGTCACCGAAGGGACCAACCGTAGTTATCAGTCATTTGGTCTGCAGGATCGAGGAGAAATTAAAAGCTGATTATATCCTGCGGGGAGAAGAGGAAGACCATGCCCCCCCTAAATTTGACGAATTAGTCCCAACTGTCTGCCAAGAAGGAGGAGGGGGGAATCAAGACAGACAATTCATTTGACTAAAAGCTCCAGGAACAACATGTCATGCTATTTCGAAACTTTAAAGCCTTCGGAACGCTAATAAATGACTTTTGATTTATGGCTGTAAGTCAGGGAGGGATATTTGAGATCCACAATGAGGTATACATGAAAAAAAAAAAACATTTCAAAACACAAACCAAACGCAAAACTACGAAAGCTTGTTTCTGCCATGGGATACAAAAAATAAAGAGGTACCCGCAAATCTTTTTCTCAAGTTCATATCTTACAATTCAGATTTTGTTCTTTTTCTTTTTTATTTTTTTTCGGAATTTGCGAAAAAAATTTGGGGAAAAAATAGTAGGGATGCACCGATACCGATACCCGATACTGAGCTCATGTACTCGTACTCGTTAAAATGCCCCGATACCAAACGCCGATACCACACAGCATGTGATAAGCGCCATATTCAAACAAAGAAACATCGACAACAGAACAACAGACAGCAGAAAGGAGTTAATGGTGTCTACTACGAAGTATATGTATGCAATGAATATAATGTTAAACATTCAGTATTAACACCTGTATAGCTGATGTGCGCGAGCTGATATGGAAAAAGTGGTATCGGTGCATCCCTAGAAAAAAGTACACATTGTAAGATATGAACTCAGAATTTCAAGAAAAAAACTAAAAGCAAGAATTGCGAAAAACTCAGAATGGTAAGATATAAACTTGTAATTCTGAGAAAATGAGTCTGAATTTTGAGATTGAAACTTGCAATTACGAAAAGTCACAATTATGTTTTTTATTCCGTGGTGGATACAAACAACAGAATTGCAAAGTAAACTCAGAAAAAAAAAGTCAGAACTGCGAGATATAAACTCAAAATTGTGAGATGAAAACTTGGAATTGCGAGACAAAAGTCAGTCTTTCTCAGAATTGTGAGAATGGTGAAATATAAACTTAGAATTGTAAGGGGGGAAAAGAGCAATTCTGAATTGTGAGACAAACTTGCAAAAATAAATGGAAACAGGCTTCCACACGAAAATGTGTTCCACAACCGATAATTTGTCGTTATCATTGAAATAATGAGTTATAGACAGATGCATTGTGGGAAAGACGACCTTCAAAAGCTGCATTCACTACAGCACACACGCTTATCTTGATGTAGGACACGTGTGCGATCCTTCAACTGAAAGGAGGTTTTCCACATTATTGCTCAATTCAAAGGTGTCTGCGCCGCTCAGGCAGAGAGCGGGTCTCATTTGGAAGACGCCTGGGCTCTATTTGCCTGTTCTGATTGGATCAGCAGGAGAAAGAACAAAGAACGCTGGCTTTCTATTGTGCCGCTTTGTATCCCAGATGTCAGAAGTCCAGCGTGCAAACAATAAAGCTTCTGCCACACTGACTATAGCAGTCATTATCCCAAGCAAGGATTGCTGGTTTTGCCGTACTGCAATCATAACTCTAATTAAGAGCGATGCTTTGTAAGCACGGAGGTTGCACGATGTTAATTACCAGAGTAGCGTGCTGCAAACACATCCCTAAATGCCACTTGTCATTGTTCTGCACTGGTACTTGTCACCTTCCCGGGATGTCTCCGGC